AATATTTCTCTTTACACTTACGATATGATTTTATTGCCTATAAAATCTCATAATATGTTTAAAAACACAAGTTTAAAAAATTTCTCTATAATTTTTAAACTACCTGCCAGCCAATACATGTACCTTAACAGAGTTTTTAAATACTACAACACTTATTAAAGATTATTATCATAAATGACTCCTATTATCTTTGATTTATTTCAAAAATAACAAATTTAATTTACATATTTCAAAGTTTTAGAAATAAAGAGGATCCATGAATTAAGGGATTTGTTTTACCTTATTAATTTTTTCCCCTTTCTCTATCTTCTTTATAATATAGTCAAACTTTTCTATAACAACATGTTCATATAACAGTCATTTACTATAAAAGTAAGTTATTCTCGAATTTATTCTTTATATTATGTTATAATATATTTTCTCTATAACAACACTTAGGGAGGTTTGACTGTTTAACAAACTGTTATATAATACTCCATCCGTTTACTGTTACTTGTCCACTTTAGACTTTTCACGCCCCTTAAAAATAATAATTGTAGTATATATGTTACCATATAACCCCTAATAGTGATGCATTTCAAAAAGTCTTGGAAAATAATTTTGACAATGAGTAATTAATGATATGGGTAAAACAAGAAAAAATTTATCTTTCTCTTGATTTGCTAAACTAAACAAGTAAAAGTAAAAATATATTTTTAGTATAGTGGACAAGTAAAAGTGAACGGAGAGCAATTGTTTCAAAAAGTTACTTCCCAGTAAAATAGGGAACAACATTTAATTTAAGATTGTAGTTCTCCATCGTTCTTAAAACCCTTTCCCCTTTCTCTCGCCTCATTTACTATAATTATACCTTTACTATACCAATTATATAATTAAATATTGCTACGCAAATATGCAATATAATCGAATTATTCCCTAAATATATGTACAATATATACCAATTATATAATTAAATATTGCTACGCAAATATGCAATATAATCGAATTATTCCCTAAATATATGTACAATATATACCAATTATATACATTATACAGTTATTATATATGCAAAGTTCCAAGTTTGTTGGATTTATATTAGTCTTATTTCCAATTGTTTGGACACACTTCGTATATTATTGTACCTGCTATATTCAAAGTATTTTATTGTAATATTTTTGTTCTTGTTGATCTTATTTTTCAACTGTTAGTTGTAGTTAGGGGTGTACAAAGGAAACCGACAAACCGCATCAATCCGATAATCTGGGTCAAATCGAGAAAAAAAAAATCGACTATGGTTTGCTATTGGAAAAAAAAGTCCGACCATAATTGGTTTGGTTTGGTTTTAACTAAAAAAAATCAAACCGAAACCAAACCAACCCGACATTACATATATTGAAATTTTAGATATATTTAATATATAAACATACTTATTGTGATGTAATTTATAAATATTTCTTAAAAAGTTTCACAATTTTATCTTTTAAGGTATTATTTCAAGGTTGGACTAAGAACTTTTGAATGTTTCAATAACATTAGTAAATTAAATAATGCTAACAAAAGTTCAAACCAAAATCAAATCAATACTAATGCTAATAAAAGACATTCAATTCAACACTATGAATAGAAATGTATTGGATATCTATTTTTTGTTTTGCAATAATTGAGATAAAAATACATAACCTATTTTTATTTTTTTCCTTTAGCGTTTAGTCATGTAATTAGTACTCCCTTATAAGTCTACTTATTTTAGCATGACTTAGTACTTTTAGATTATGTTTATTTTTATTATAGCTTTTTAATTAGCAATATTTATATTACATAATTTTATTGTCTTTATTGTTGAATATTTTAGGATAATGCCATGACACATCTCATATTTTGTATTATTTTCTTGTAAAATACTTTATATAGTTGTATCTTACTAAGATTAAAGAAATATTTTAAACACAATTTATATGTTTTGTTCTACGAAGATTTTACCGGAAAAAACCCCGAAAAACCCGAAAACCAGAGAAAAACCGAGAGTGAAAAACCGAGTTTTATTGGTTTGGTCTTTAAATTTAATAACCCAACACAATTGGTTTGGTTTGGTAATTATAAAATCCGAACTAACCCGACCTATGTACACCCTAGTTATAGTATATATTAATATACCTATTATAAAAAAATTATATTATTTTAATTTTTGATTTTTTTATAGTTTGAGTTAGAATTTATACGAGTAATTTGTCTATAACTAAGAGATAAAAGGAGATATTCCATAGAGATGTAAAGATCAGTCATCTTTTAATACAAGTTTAACGTGAAAATAGCTTGATCTAGTCAGTTTTCGAACTGTTAATTGAAAAATAGCCAGCATTTGAAAAGTCATTAAAAAATAGTCATTATTTTGCTGAAACACGGAAAGTTCCACCATAATATGCTGGATTATGGAGCTCATGCGTGTAAACTTCTAGTATATTATGTTGGAACTCCAGCACACGAAAAGCTCCAGCATAGTATGATAGATTATGGAGCTCCTGCGTATACATGTCCAACAACACGAAATGCTCCAGTATAATATGATAGATTATGGAGCTCCTGTGTATACACTTTCAGTATATTATGTTGGAATTCCAGCACATTATGTTGGAATTCCAACATATTATGAAGTTACAATACATTATGTTGGATTTTTTTTCGGATTTTTAAGGGTATTTTTATTCAGATTTTATCTTTACATGAAGAAATGGCAAATTTCGAATACTTTTAAAATTGTGACTATTTTTTAATTACCAGTTGTAAATCTGACTGTTTCTGATTTTTTCCCCTAAGTTTAACGTCTGAAATCAATTAATACAAATTTATTTGAAGTTATCTTTAGGTGTTGTTATTTACGTGAGTTGGTTTCCTTAATTTAAAGAGAATCTGTTATGGTACGTTAATCTTTGGTTGTCATGTATTGTCAACTCAACTAATCCTGCTATGATTTTGTAAAATTTTGTATAAATATTGCACAATTATATTTTTGTCCCCTAAAAAATAAGCCAAAATTGGGAAAGATGGCCTCAGTAATAAATTGTAAAAATTGCACGGAGCGTCCTATTTGATCGCCCCCATTTAACCTATACTTATTTTTTTTTTAAACTTTTAACTTGCACCCACTTTTTAAATAACTTCAGCCCTCTTTCTCCTCCTCCTTCTCCTCCTTCGTTTTCTTCTTCTTTCTTCTGCTGCTGTTGGTGCAGATTATTTCTTCTTCGTTTTGTCTCAATTAATATTCTTTTACGTAAGCATAGTTATGGATTTAACTTAACTGTTTGTTCAGATTTTTCATGAAGTGGAACGAGTCATCTATTGAGCTAAAAAACGGCAACCTGTGATGAAGTAGAATGGAGTAACATATTTGAAGGGAAGATATACGTACACAAACACAACTATGACAAGTAGGCCAAGTAATTGGTAGCAACTTTTCGCCTAAACAAAGAACCACCATAATTAAGGATAAATAACAGATTAACTACTCTCATCTTGGCTACAAAAAATACAAAGAGTTATCTATATGAAATCACCAGTGATTATAGCTGTCTTTGCTAAGTACAGGAAAAGCAGTCAAGTGATTAAAAATTCTGAATCCAGAAGAGGAGAGCCTAAGTAAAATATTAGTACAAACAAAAACTTCAGCTCTAGAGCTGAAGCTTACAAACAAAAAGCCAGTTACAAACAAAAACTTCAGCTCTAGAGCTGAAGTTTGACAGTTACAAAACAAAAACTTCAGCTCTAGAGTTGAAGCTTACAAACAAAAAGCCAATTACAAACAAAAACTTCAGCTCTAGAGCTGAAGTTTAACAGTTACAAAACAAAATCTTCAGCTCTAGAGCTGAAGCTTACAAACAAAAACTCCAGCTCTTACAAACAAAAACTTCGACAGTTACAAAACAAAAACTTCATCTCTAGAGCTGAACTTCAGACTTGGCTACTAGAATGCTGAAGTTTTGCGTGATTGTCTTTGCTACTTCAGCCCCGTATGCTGAAGTTATGCGAAAAAGCGGGTACGTTTGCAATTTTTTTTTGCAAAGCGAACACAAGTTAAAACGTGACACAAAAAGCGGATATAGATACAAATGCCCCTAATAAATTACCTCCAGCAATTCAAACTGATATGTCACGTTGAAATTAAATGAGAAAGCACTTCAACGGAAGACATTTTTATTGGGAAATGAAGTATATAGCGGCTCTCAAAATAATAGTAAAAAAATGTAGTATATATATATATACATACACGTTATATACCAAAAAAATGCAAATTTATATACTTCCCTAGCTAAAAATAATCTTTGCCCTTTTTAATTAATAAAACTTTTCTTCTAGCAGCATCAAACGACAGGACAGAATGAACTTGAGTAGAATAATTCATTCTCTGTCTTTCTTGGAACTAAACGTAACGTTACAGATTAAACTGCACAAACAATTATAAGTTTTATAGTAGTGTCAAGACTAAGGCAGCAATCACTTAATTGTGTATGCGCAAGAGTTTAGTTTTATTGTCTGTCAAAATTATACGCTATTGTTGAAATAACAGATTCCCTTTAAGATTTGCATACAATAGCACACAATAGAAAAACATAAGAGCACATCTACTCTATGATAAAATCAAATAAGGTTACATTTCCTGAAAACTCAATACTCCCTGAGAATTAGCAAATTATCCATTGAATAACCACGTTCCAAAGCATCTCTGAGATTAATTTGATCGATTAATTGTTCGTAAAATACAGACACAAAACTCCTGCAGAAAGATGATGAGAACCTTGGCTCAGAAACCTGGCATCCTATATTTCTGAACTCTACTTCACATATTCTTCAACCCGTCGTACTGCCAAAAAATTGAAAGACACGGCAAAATAACTTTGGCAGGTGTTTTCCATATAAGTATTTGGTACCTCAAGGTTCCAAAACTGGGAAACAATGATAAACAAGATAGGGGTCAAAGCCTAACTCCCGAAATCACAACGCGTATTTCACTTCTAAAAAAATGATACGGCACATTACTTTATGTGCCAAAGCTACGGTCTCCAGCATCTCCTAAACCGGGGATAATAAACCTGAAAATTTATCAATCAGAAAACTGTAATGACCTGATGAATTCTGCTATTTAGAGAAGTGATTAAGGTAAAAGGTTGTTTGAAGATTGGTTACCCTTTGTCATTAACAGTTGGATCAAGTATTCCAGCATATACGTGTAATCTGAAAAATAAAGAAACAAGAAATCAGGATATCTACTGAAACACATCAAATACGTAAAAACTTTTGAGTTATTAAACTTGTTACCCTGGAAATTTCTCACTGAGCTTTTGGAGAGCAGGCGGAGCACCAACTGCACATATCTGAATGATGCAATTCGAGTAATCAGCAAGTTGACGAGACAAATATAATTGAGAGATCAAACCTAATACTCATTCGAGAAATGTTCATTCAGGGTATTTCCAGTTCTGGTAAGCATTGACTATTGAGCCGACCTAAACTCCATATAGAACCCCCATTTTTACACGTTACAAGTTGAGGTTTTCTGGAAATGCATAGCAAAATCTAGAACTGCTTCACAGACCAAAGAGAAAGGTAGTCACAACTGAATATTTAAACATGCAAGGTTTGCTGCAAAAAATATCAATCTCTATTTCTGGAGCATTGACAAGCCTCTCTCCCTTGTACCCGTAATTTTCTTTGTTTCTCTTCCCATTATAAAGAAAGTTGAATGGAAGTTTCGAATACCAATATATATTTATGCCAGCATGCATGTGTTTCTTAAGATCCTTAACATCCAACAGAACATTCTTCACATATCATGTCGATATCACACAGGAAAACAGGAAAAATTAGCACCCTTCACAGTGTCAACAATAGCAAACAAACATTTTAGCAAATAAATATAAATATAAGTTGGGAACTTACAACTTTAATCTGACTATTGTCAACCCCACGTTCCTTTATAAGGTCAATGGCTGCAACTATTGTACCACCTAGAAATACAAAGAAAATCCAGTCAGACGAGAAAACAAATCAAGCGACAATATCCTTTAAAAGCATAAAAACTTAAGGATTTATAGATGCTACCACAAGAATACGTGTGTTCGTCAGTACATACTATGAGAGACACATCCAACTACAAAAACTGATTTAAAGGAAAAGACAACTGTTTGCCACTAAAAGGTAGACCGACTTGTCTGGTAGCAATTTATATGGACTCCTTGGTGAAGATATCCCGGGAAATAGTTCCTTCACAAGACTCGCAAAGAAGGCACGTAGCCATGAATACTTGCAAAGATAAAGGTTGTTACAACCCCAACGGATCTTAGTTACTAGCTCTTATTAGAGAACCTATACCCCAACTCCTAACTAGAAAAGCAGAGGGAACTTGGTTATGGTGTATCACTTCAGCAGAACTATTTAAGCTTGTCTGTTATAAGAAATAAATTTAAGCTTAATTGCGCGTCAGCAATTTGGCAGTGCTACACAGAACACAATTTAGAGAGTGAGATAACAATATATCTGGAGTCTGGAAGACAAGAAGCTTTGAATAAGGTTTTGACGAAATTCTTATGATTCTGCATGAAGTGGAAATTTATGTCTTACCTAACAGCTAAGTTGCTCGGACACGGGTGCGGGTGTCCGTCAAGAGTGCGGATCTAGAGGTCAGATCCTTCGAGACATAAATTCTAAGATTCGGAGATACGGATCCTAGTATGGATACAGGTGCGAGGATCCGGCTAAAAATAAAAGTACAAAAATATCTCTAAATTATGAGAATTTTTGTGGAATACTTATGTATAGCTTGTAAATTGTGGATTTCTTTTTTATTCTCAAGTTGTAGATAAGTAAAGGATTGATTTCCTAGATAAGTTGTGGTATTTTCTTCAAATTTACCCTGATTTTGGTTCTGAATTCAAGAATCAAATTGTATCTCATCTCGAATTTTTCCATCCGTTGTGGTCAAAGTACCCAAAATTGTTTGACCAAATCCAGTACGGATCCCATAGCCGTACACATACTAGTGCCGTGTCGGCACGAGTGCGGCACCTAAAACTGTCAGAGCAACTTAGCCTAAAAACTATTCGTTAGGTTAAAAACAGTGATTGCTATTTTTTCTTTTTATATTTCTTTTCTCGTTTTTTATTGGTTTACATGAGTAAGCCATCAATGTCTTTCTTGTTCCACTAGCTAGGAGATAATTTGAAAATGTCCCCTTCGTTATTACTTATTTCAATGACGTCATTCCTTGTGGGAACCACTAGAATATTACAGAATGATCTAAAGAGGGTCATAGCTTATTCAACTTGCAGTCAATTAGGCTATATGATCTTTGCTTGCGGCATCTCTAACTATTCGATTAGCGTCTTTCACTTAATGAATGACGCATTTTTCAAAGCATTACTATTCCTGAGTGCAGGTTCGATGATTCATGCCATCCTCTCGAATAGAGCTCCTTACAAAAATACCAGATCATTGAAGAGGAATAAAAAAAAATGGTAGTTTTCCTATCAAGTACATGGATGTTTTCTAGGACATGGATTCTATATGAACCAATGATCGTGACAAGTCGTTACTACTAGCATAGTGACTTCCTCTTTCATTACTTCATTCTTTCCATATCCCTCTCCTTTGTTCTCAGTTACTCATCAAATGGCACTCAGTTCATATCTTTAAGTTCGATCATTGACAATGTTCAAAGAAAGGGTGGGCTATTGATAAAGAATCGATGGAAAACCACAATGCTAAGCGAAAGAGATGAATCCGTTGTTAGGAATCATTAAATCCTATAAACGATTGTTCGGGTATATCGTGGAAATTTTTTGAAAGACGAGAATCAAATAATTTTCAGTGGTGGAACAAAATATCTCTCATCTCTCCCTCGAATAGATTCTTTTTTTTTGTTTCCAAAGGAATGTTGTTATGTTGTTTTGAAGGGTGCANTGTTCTTCTCTCCATCGATAGGGTCGTTATGCTCATTACTAAACTTGTTGAAGAGATGAAATATAACCAAGGTATATCTTTTTTATCAGAGGTTGAATCGATCATCAGAAGAAGAATTAGGCCAAAAATTAGGATACATTCTGGGAAAATCAAACTTCCATCGAAGAGAAGCAAATGAAANAATATATTTTGGGTAGAGCCGTCAATATGAGTTTGGCACGTTGGGCCAGCCCAACCCAGCCCATGATTTAGCAGGATTGGGCTAGAATTTTTGGAGCCCGTTTAAAAACGAGGCTTTTAAGCTCGGCCCGAGTAAGTCCGTGGCCCTAATAAAATATTTATTTAAAATATATAAAAAATAAAAAGTATACTGCCTCTAGAGATGGAACGATAGAATTGGATCTTTACTAAGAGGAACCAAAACTTATCTTGAGAAGTTTCAAGAGATGGATGTTGTCGTGTATTGGAAGGACCATTCTAGAAAATATCCCGATCTTTCAATGATAGTGCGTGATGTACTTAGTATTCATATTACTATTGTAGCATCGGAATCAACATTTAACATTGGTGGCGTGTTCTTACAAAGTAGAGAAGTTGCATTTATTATGAAAATGTCCAAACACTTGTTACCACTCGAAATTGGCTGCACAACTTTTCCCAAACTCAAACCGGTAATATTTTTTATGTGAATTTAATATTATTAATTTTTAAAATTTAATTATTCTTAATATTTAACTAATTAATATTGCATATGAATTGTAGATGTAGATGAAAGTGAAGATGTTAAGACAACCTTGTCACAAGCGGATTCAAATATGTTTGATGAAGATGATGTGTTGGATATCTCATAAGCATCATGAACATTCTCTTGAATAGTTTGGTTTGAGTTTTGACTTTTAGTGAATGAAATATAATCTTGTCTTTTACTTTTTTTGGTGTTTATTGTGATATATTAGAACAATATAAAAAGTTATCAAGTTTTGCGAATTTTTTCCAATAAGATATTTTTTAACTTTTAAATAATTATCTTTTTTAGGTTAGAACTTAAAGAAAAAATAGAAAATTATATTTTTAAAAATGATGGGCCGGCCTGTGGGGGCCCGCAACCACATGGGGCTGGGTGGACTGACCATTATAAGGCCCATCAAAATGGTGGGCTAGCGTAGCCCAGCCCGTCAATTGCTAAAGCCCACATGGACTGGACTGAGCTACCCCGGCCCGGCCCATATTACAGCTCTAATTCCGGGAAAACAAACTTCCATCGAAGAGAAGCAAATGAAAGGCTTTCATAAAAATTCTCGTAAAATCGAGAATGAAGTTTTCAGAGTTTGCATCCCTACAGGAAGTTAAAGGACAAATTTAAATTGATAAGATAGAGAGAAGTACGACAATAGGCAACATCTATCTTCTACTGGTCAATCCATCTGCAATGCTCAACATAATTTTTTTTCTGGATAAGTAAATGCTGGTAGAATCTGAGCTTTTTAGCTGGAGGTCCGAAACAGACCCCGGAGTTTAAAGGTTTCAAATTGAGCAGGACTAAAACAGAATACTTGGAGTGCAAGTTTAGTGATGAGACTTGTGAGGCTGACATTAAAGTGAGGCTGGGCACACAAGTCATACCCAAGAGAGAAAGTTTTAAATATCTTGGGTCTATAATCCAAGGAAATTGGGAGATTGACGACGATGTCACACATCGTATTGGAGCGGGGTTGATGAAGAGAAGACTCACATCTGGCATCTTGTGCAACAAGAATGTGCCGTCAAGACTTAAAAGTAAGTTTTACAGAGTAGTGGTTAGACCGACCATGTTGTATGGAGCGGAGTGTTGGTCAGTCAAGACCTCGCATGTTCAGAAGTTAAAAGTTGCGGAGATGAGGATGCTGGGATGGATTTGTGGTCATACTAGGAGGGATAGAATTAGGAATGAAGATATTCGAGATAAGGTGAGAGTAGCCTGTGTGTTGGACAAGATGCGGGAAGCTAGGTTGAAGATGGTTCGGGCACGTGAAGAGGAAAAGCACAAATGCCCCTGTGAGGAGGTGTGAGAGGTTGGCTATGGCGGGTTCAAGGAAAGGGCGTGGTAGGCCGAAGAAATGTTGGGGAGAGGTGATCAAACAGGACATGGCACATCTTAAGCTTATCGAGGACATGACCCTTAATAGAAGGATGTGAAGGTCGAAGATTAGGGTTGTAGGTTCCCAGGTAGTCGAGCGTATTTCTTTTCGACCCTTCCAAACCTGTACTTCCTTCCCTAGCTATAGTACTAGGGTTATCCTCATATTCCCTATTTTAGATTAATATTATTACCTGATGTTTTTTTTTTTGCTTCGTTTTTTTTTTGTTTATTACTATTTCGTTTTCCGTAGTTCTTTGCAATAACTGTTGTGATTTTGCTTTATTGAGCTGAGGGTCTTCCGAAAACAACCTCTCTACCTTCATAAGGTAGGGGTAAGGACTGTGTACATACTACTCTTCCCAGACTCCACTTATGAAAATATACTGAGTATGTTGTTATTGTTGGATATGTGGCAAAATGTATTCACGGAAATTCACGAGTTACTTAAATATGAAAATTACAGAATTAAAGGGGAAAAAGATGTTTGTACCAGTTGCCAGCATTGGATCTACAACAATCACACGAGAACCTTCAGGAAATTTATCGGGCAACCTACAGAATGGACGAAAAGGGTTAGAAAAAATTTACCTCATAGTTCGTTGGCCAAAAGAACAAGAAAACTCCAAGCTCAAATAAAATAGGAAATCGCGCAACAATTTGTACTTATAGTGCGAAGGCAAGAAATACTTCATACAGGAACCTAATGCCACATTATACAATAGTAAGCAATAGTCCAGCTTCAACAAAAATACTTACTTGTTCAAGTATACAGAGGGCTGAAGTGTTTCTTCGTTTCTGCTTATTCCTTAATTTGAAAATGAACAGAAAAATTAGCATCGTGACAGTAAACAAATGGAAAAAACACAAAAAGAACAAAGTACAGGACAATATTTGGAGCTTAGATTGACATAGTTTTAAGCTTAGTTGAAAATGAAACTTTGTTTCAAAAGGCGGGAGGATCCTGTGCAAATAAGTGAGCATTATCATGTACATGAAACTCGTATGAAGCAGTAGGCTATCATGCCATTATAAGTGCAGTCACCTTAAGATTCAATCACCAAATTTTATCTATAATTGATACTCCAATGAATATTCACACATACAGGTAAGGAAGATGAGAGATTATAGTTTCCAATGCTAAAAGATGATGATAAACTTGTCTTTACCCAGATGATAAGTTTTTGTTGCAGGAAGAATTGATGATGCATGCTCGGCAAGAGCCAGACCAGCTCTCAAGATGGGAACAATCTGTAAACCAAGGTAGTAGGTGCATGAATGACCATGGCGTGTCTTCAAATTTATCTTTTATGAAAGATTGCTTCTCACAAATATATATGATAAAAACCACAACCATCAGAGTTGTCTAGTTATTAGGTTTCGCTAAAAACCAAATTTGGTAACCATGTCATGAACCAATTGAGAGGCCGGAGAAGAAGGAGGCAATTTGAAAGGAATACCCAAATATTTGGACTACAAAGATGCAGAAAATTTAAAACTTACTGCAACAGGTTCCCTTGGATCAACGAACTCCACAGATGCAACACCCATTGGTGACTGGATCTCTCCTGTTATGGTAGGCTGCAATGATAATGATAATTATTTTAAGTCAACATTTGGCAGAGGAAGAAAGTGGAAATACACTGGGTCGTTGTTGTTGTATTTGGCAAAGGAAGATTATTCATTAAAACCATCGGCATCACTATAGCTTAGTTGTAGATTAGGGTGGTTTTGTTTTACTTCAATTGCAAGAACATCAGAACAGAATAAGTCATGTTCAATTTGAACATCCAAATTTGCTATATTTAATGAATTTAGACTTCTATATTGCTAGAGTTTGATATGATCCTAGATAGCCCGAGCAAAGCGGAGAATATTGAAGATGGCCCCGAATTATCTAGCGGACCGTTGACTCGCTCCAAGTCCAAGAACGCCCGAGGGATGCATGCTGAGTAGCTGCATGATCTTCAACAATTGACTAGAAGATGTTTGGAGAGGCACTTGGAGGATTCATGCAAAGGATACTATGTTTGGAGTCTTGAGAATTGAAGAATCAAGGCCCCAAGTCAAACCGTGTAACATGGCTTCACCAACCGTTGGTTACGGGGCAAGAGGGACCTGAAGGGCGGAAAAAATAAGCTTCCGGAATTCGTCACGGTTCAACTGTGTGTTATAGTTGAGGCTAGCGTTTGGCCAGGCGAGTTTTTTTGGGAAATTAACTTTGAAACTTTTCTTATTTTACCCATTGGGTAAAATAGGGTTATTTCATTAGGAACTTAGCCTAGGGTATTTATAACAGTCTAGGGTTATTTCATTAGTCACTTAGCATATTTTGACATAAGAAAACTCTTGGGAGAGATTTGGAACCTCTTGGTTCGAGTTCAACTTTGGATTACCTATTTTCAAGACTTGGGTTCTTGAGGGTAATTTTTTTCTCCTTTCTTTATATCTAAGGTAATTGTTGCTTGAGACGTTCACGTAGGGTTCTAAATTTTCTTCTATATTCCATCATTCAGACTACTTTTGATTATCTTAATCAAACCTATTATTAGTTTTGCTTTACTTATTGTTATTTTCATATTTCACTGTTTTGTTTATCTCGGAGCGTATCAGTTGGTACCAGAGCGAAGGAACGAGTATTGTTCTAGCAAACCCACGTTCCCCAGTTTTGAAATCAAGATCCGAATAAGTTAAAAAAAGGGCCAAAAAAAGGTATAGTTCTTGTTTGCAACTAAACCTTAGAGTTGATTACAAAAAAAAAAATTGTTCTTGAGTTTCAAAAAAAATATATATATATTAGAAAGGAAGCTATTGAAGTGTTCTTGTTGATTGTTAGGGAAAGACTACTTTTGGGTAAGAAAGATTCATGGGAGATACTTGTTAAGAACGAGCTAGTGCTAGTTCGCATTAAATCATTTTTAATATTTGAAACTGACTATTTCTTTAATGCCAATTCATTCGTGCTTTTCTCGTTATTTTCACAGAATTTCTTGGCTCCCGTTCTTAGTTTTTAAAAGTCCGTTCCTGATTACATAAACTCCACTCTTAAATTACTTTCAAGAAAACTAATTCTTGGATAGGTGATTTGTGAGTTGAGCTTGAACTTTGAGGATTTCCAAGGAGTGAGGCAGAGAATATATACGAGTGAAACATGAGAATTCATAATCTTGAGAGAATGTCTGGCGTTGAGGATGGTACCAGTGGCACTAACGCACTAGCTCGGACTGAAAGAACTAATGAGATGTCGCAAATTATGATGCAACAGATACAACATTTGACTTTGCAGGTAAAAAACTTGCAGAGGGCTAATCAGACACTACCAGTAGCTCCGACACCCGCAGTATATCAAGGTCCACCTCAAATGTGAGGAGAGATCCACCACAAGTTAGGGTACCTCCACAATATGGCCCATATGAAGAATCTGAAGATGAAGATTTTGATGACTATATTGATTATGGTCATCAAGGCTTGAGAGCGGGTAGGGGAGGAGCTAGGCATGGGAGAGGATTTGGGATGCGACAATGGAATCAATACAACCAAGATGAAGGAGTTGATAGAAACTTGGATAGCATTAAGATGAAAATTCCTTCCTTTAAGGGAACAACAGATGCGGATGCATACTTGGATTGTGGAAGCAAAGGTGGAAAAGATTTACAGGGTTCATAACTACTCTGAGGAGAAGAAAGTTCAAATGGCGGTGACTGAATTAAAGGGATATGCCTCTGCTTGGCTTGAAAGAACTGAGCTTGCTCGTAGAAGGCTTGGTGACAGACCAATTGAAATTTGGGAAGACTTGAAGGGAGCAATAAGTGGGTAGAGTTTATAGAGACCTTTCCATATGTTATCCACTATAAGCAAGGCAAGGATAATGTTGTGGCTAATGCACTTTCTAGACGATATGTTCTGATTAATGTGTTAACTGCTAATTTGATGGGGTTCGAGCATATTAAAGATTTATATGATAGTGACCAAGATTTTAGTAGTACGTACAAGGAGTGTAAGTTGGGTATGTTTGAGGGATTCCTTGTAGATGATGGTTATTTGTTTGGGAATGGAATATTGTGTGTTCCTAGATGTTCTTTGAGGGAATTGTTTGTTAGAGAGGCACCTAGTGGTGGATTGATGCGGCATTTTGGAGTTTCTAAAACACTTGAGCGCCTAAAAGAAAGAATTTATTGGCCCCACATGAGGAGAGATGTAGGTAAAGTTTGCGGTAGATGTATCGAGTGTCTTCAGGCTAAGTCTAAGGTTAAGCCACATGGGTTATATACTCCATTGCCTGTTCCCGAGGGTCCTTGGTTAGATATTTATATGGATTTTGTTTTGGGCTTACCAAAGACTAGGAAGGGACATGATTGCATATTTGTTGTGGTTGACCATTTTTCTAAGATGGCACATTCTATTCCTTGTCACAAGAAAGATGATGTGTCTTACATAGCTACATTATTTGAGAGAGAGGTTTTGAGGTTACTTTGGATGCCTAGGTCCATTATTAGTGATAGGGATACTAAATTTGTTAGCCAATTTTGGAGAACTTTGTGGTCTAAGTTGGGAACTGAACTATTGTATTCTACCACTTGTCATCCCCAAACAAATGGTCAGGTTGAGATAGTCAATAAGACATTGGGTAATATGTTGCGAGCTGCACTTAGGGGTAAGTACACTTCTTGGGAGGACCGTATACCGTTTATTGAGTTTGCTTATAATAGCTCTGTTCACTCTTTCATGTGTAAGTCTCCTTTTGAGGTTGTATATGGCTTTAATCCGCTAACACCTTTATATTTGATTCCTTTGCCTATGAGTGATGTTGTGAATGTAGATGGTAAGAACAGGGCTGAAGCATTAAAGAGGGTTCATGAGCAAGTGTGGTTGCAATTGGAGAAGACATATGACAAGGTTGCCAATAGACCTAACAAAGGAAGAAAACAGGTTATTTTCAAACCTGGTGGGTGGGTTTGGGTTCACTTGAGGAAGGAACGGTTTCCTGATAAATGCAAGTCCAAGTTGCATCCTCGTGAAGATGGACCATTCCAAATTCTTGAGAAGATTGGCGACAATGTGTACAAGTTGGATCTCCCAGGTGAGCTTAAGGTGAGTGTGACATTTAATGTTTCTGACTTATTTCCTTTTGGTGCAGGTATGTTGGATTCGTGGACGAATCCTTTTCAAGAAGGAGGGATTGATACGATCCTAGATAGCCCGGGCAAAGCGAAGAATATTGAAAATGACCCCGAATTATCTAGTGGACCGTTGACTCGCTCCAAGTCCAAGAACGCCCGAGGGATGCACGCTGAAGAGCTGCATGATCTTCAACAATTGAGTAGAAGATGTTTGGAGAGTCACTCGGAGGATTCATGCAAAGGATACTATGCTTGGAGTCCTGAGAATTGAAGAATCAAGACTACAAGTCAAATCGTACTGTTGGCTACGGTTCAAGAAGGACCTGAAGAGCTAAAGAAAATAAGCTTCTGGAATTCGTCATGGTTTAGATGTGCGTTACGGTTGGGGCTACGGTTTGGCTAGGTGAGTTTTTTTGAGAAATTAACTTTGAAACTTTTCCTACAACAACAACAACATACCCAGTAAAATCCCCACTAGTGGGGTCTGGGGAGGGTAGGATGTACGCAGACCTTACCCTACCCCGGAAGGGTAGAGAGGCTATTTCCGGGAGACCCTCGACTCAACAGAAGAGATAATAATTTCAGAAAAGAACGAAAGAAGAGATCTGTAACAACAAAAGAAGTAAGAGAAGTAATAATAATATCTTAAAATACACCAAATAAGTGAAAGGGAGTGCAATAATAACTTTGAAACTTTTCCTATATTACCCATTAGGTATTTATGATAGCCTAGGGGTATTTCATTAGGAACTTAGCATATTTTGACATAAGAAAACTGTTGAGAGAGAGATTTGGAACCTCTTGGTTCGAGTTCGACTTTGGATTACCTGTTTTCAAGACTTGGGTTCTTGAGGGTAATCTTCTTCTCCTTTCTTTATATCTAGGATTCTAATTTGCCATTTTTGGGAGGCAATCGAATAGTTTTTCAATTGTTTCTTGAGACGTTCACTTAGGGTTCTAGATTTTCTTCTATATTTCATTAATCAGACTACTTTTGATTATCTTAATCAAATTTATCATTAGTTTTGCTTTAATTATTGTTATTTTCATATTCTGCTGTTTTCTCGAATTGTATTAGAGTTCCATGCATAATAACGAAAAACAGATATTATCATAACTCACCAACCAATCTCTTGAAGCTTCATACATAAGCAATCTACCAAGTTCAGACATGGCATTCTCTACAAGAAAAGTATAAAATTGACATATCTTTGATCAAAAGGACAGCCAAATGAAATATAAATGCAGCAATTAAGAGGGATGTGCGTTCACACAATATTAGAAAATGTTGCATCGGACAAAAGCTGCAAGTACCACACATAGAATACATGCATGAGATAGTTTGGCCACGTCCTACATAAACTTCAAATATAGAGTAATTGGTAGGTGTGCGACATTATTGTTTAACCCAAAAAATAGTTTTTACGGTCAAAACAATTAATTTTATGTTTTAGAGTACAAACCGATTTAACACACTTTTCCAAATATAAACAATATAAAAAGGAATAATAATTGAGAAAGGAAAGAAAATTTTTATTGATGTTAGTAGCATTTATTCCGCATACGCTACATATTTAATTGCCAGAAATAGAACAATGAAATTCAACAACGCAATTGAGAGAATAATTGAGTAATTTTCAGATGGGGATACAATGTAAGGAATAGGGGACTAAACAGTATTTCTATCCCGGAAACAGCCTCTCTACCCTTTTCGGGGTAGGGGTAAGGTCTGCGTACACTCTACTCTCCCCAGACCCCACTAGTGGGATTTTACTGGGTATGTTGTTGTTGTTGTATCCGTAATTGATTGCCTTGTCCAGCTCCTGTCCATTACTATCATTTATTATACGCTACATACTGATGCGTAATAATGGCAAATCTCGTGTTAAATGATTCTTTCCTTGTTCGTGATTATGAACGATCTTTCGTAACAGGCCGAGCCTTTTTCTTCATAATCACTTCCCGTGACTAATAGTTATGGTACTAATATTAGCTCCTAATGTATTTTAAACATCATTCTCAATAACTTTGCCGACATGTGTTGTAATCTAATTGATTCATGTGGCAAGGTTATTTTCCACTAATACAGATACTCCCTCAATCTCCGAATAATCTCAAATGAATACTCGGAAAGTGGTAAGTTATTTATGCCAGGAAAGTTTGCTGCCTCTTCCCGAGATTATAATGCATGCTGCAGAAGTGAAAAGACATGTGCCTCTTTCATTTAATGCTAGGGACACGTGGCTCAATATGATTGGCTCTTAGATTTGTAGCAATTTTCTAGATTCTGTGACAGTTCCATGATGACGTAACTCTTTCCTATAAATACGAAACCAAAACCCTCAAAACCTTATTCTACCATTTCCTTATTCTTAGAAATTCTCTCTGCTTTTTCGTTCTTTGCTTTCAACCACCTCTTCTTCTCTTTCCGCTTTTTTGTTTTTTGCTTTCATCCTCTTTCTTCATCCCTCGCTTCCAAACTTCTACTTATCGTGCTATCACAGCGGATGAACTTCCTAACGTACTAGCTCTAGGAGAAAAGGAAGAAGATTTCGTCGCCTTGGCTCCATGCTAAGTAGAGGCAGCACTACTTCCACTAAGGGAAGTTCTACCAAAACTTATTCTACGTCCAAAACTTATTTTAAGGGCAAAACCAACGCGAAGATATCACGGAAATTTTGGCTGAGCCTTTAGTCTTTGAAATTATACCACAAGCATTTTTTTGTGCAACCAACTGCGTTGAGTAGAATAAGAAGATTAGTCAAAAGGATGGCCGTAACGATCCAACTGACCATCTCCATTTTCTTATCAAGCCATGCCATCTCCCACTTGTTCTCAAAGAGTGTCGTTGCATATCAAATTTTCCGGTCGAAGCTCCTCGTGAAGATGAACAAATAACTAGCTACCTCAAAGGTTATTCATTCGTGTATACTTATTCGTTCTCCCTCGATAACCTTCGCGGTAGTTAGTTATTCGTTCGTCTTCACGAGGAGCTTTGACCGGAAAATTGGATCTCGAACGGCACTCCTTGTGAACAAGTGGGAGATGGCATGACTTGATAAGAGAAGGGTGTTCTTTTGACTTATCTTCTTATTCCACTCAGCACAATCAGCTACAAAAAAAAAATCTTGTGGTATCTTTCAGTTTGCTTTTGCTTTTAAAAGAAGTTTTGGAGGTAGAAAAAGTTTTGGAGATAGAAAACGTTTTGGAGGTAGAACTTCCCTTATTGGAAGTAGTGCCGCCTCTACTCACCATGGAGCCAAGGCTACGGAGTCTTCTTCCTCTTCTCCTAGACCTAACTGGAGCTACTAAGTTAGGAAGTTCATCCACTATGACATCACAATGAGGAGAAGTAGCAGGGTTGGAAGAAGTTGAAGGTTTGGAAGCCATTAGAGAGATGAAAGAGGATGAGACCAAAGAACGAAAATATAAAAAGAGAAGAAGGTAGTTGAAACCAAAGTACGAAAAAGCATAGAGAATTTCTAAGAATAAAGCAAAGGCGAAAGAAGGTAGAAGAAGGTTTTGAGAGTTTATGGTTTCGTATTTATAGGAAAGATTACGTCATCACAAACCATCCTTATGGGACTGTCACTTCAAAGTTACAGAGCCATTATTGCATAGAAAACCGCTACAAATCTCAATAGATTAAAACACGTGTCACCAAAGTTATTGAAGAATAATGTGTAAAATACATTCGGAGCTAATATTAGTACCGTTACTATTAGTTCCGAAACTGATTATGAAGGAAAAGATCCGAGCTTGTACGAAAGATCATTCATAATTACAAATAAGGATAGAATCATTTAATACCAGATTACATGGGATTCACCATTATTATGCTATCGATTACGCATCGGTTATGTAACGTATAATAAAGCAATAAATGACAGTAACAAGCAGGAGGCTGACAAGGCAATCTTACGGTTAGAAATGCTATTTAAACTCGTATTCTTTACGTTGTACCCCCGTCTGAAAATTACTCAATTATTCTCTCAAACACATTGTTGATTCTCATTGTTCTATTTCTAACAATTTTATATTTAGCTTACACGGAAAAAATGTTGCTAATATTAATAAAATTTCTCTTTCCTTTTATCTATCAATTTTTTTGTTCAATTGTTATTCCTTTTTATATTATTTCTATTTGAAAAAGTGCGTTAAATCAGTTGTTAGTGCCCCAAAACATTAAATTAATTGCTTTGACCGTAAAAACTATTTTTAAGTTAAATAATTATGACAATTGAAAGTGCCAAAATGCAACATGGTAAGCCTAAAATCACTCTTAGATAAACTATACACTCAAATTTAAAACCAATAAGTTGAATATTCAAATAAAAATAGTTTTTGACAGTTATATAGATACTGGCAACTACACCTTAATCACAAACAACAATTACATTGATATATTATTAAAAGATATAAAAACATTAACATTTAAAAGTCAGTTCCTTTTACATTTATCCATTAAAAGAGACACTATATTTCACATTTGGAATAAATTTCAAACAAAGCAACTACTTTTTTTTCAGCACATAATAAAGGGTGCTGATGCAAAATTCAGTAACAGACTCAAACTTCACCCCTCATAGATTATCTTTCTTCATATCCAGTTCAGCATGATTTTTAGCAAGATTTAATTTCAGCATTAAAATCTTTTGAATGAAAAAAAAGAAGCTAAAATAAATTAGAAAAACTTCACATACTGAAAATGGGGCTAGGCGTCTGCTCATTTCGAAGAACTGAAACCCAGTGCTTTATCAGAGGATGTGGTGGAACAAACACCTAAAAAAAATCAATCAATTAAACTAACATCACCAATTAAATTAAACTTGCTTCTGTATTTATTTACTAAAAGAAACATTTTGTCCCATCATCAGAAAAAGTTAAAAGAAAATCCAAAAACTAAGATTCCACGACATTATTTATCAAAACACAATATTCTGAACAACCAAACAAAGCGTTAGATGAGTGAACTTTACTTACCAGCATTCTATTACCACTCATCACTTTGTTCTCCGCCGCCATTGAACACACCACAATTCCCCTTCGTTGAATAGAATTTGAAATCTGAGCTCAAAATAACAAAAGCATAAAATTTATTTCATAGATTACTATCCCAAGATTACATGAATCTTCTTATATCATAATCTAGTCGTCCTTTAATTAATAATCACATGTTAAAATGCACTGATAATATACAAAAATCTTTACAATGACCGGGCAAAAAACTCGCGAAAGGGTATATACCCGTAAACAAAATCACGTAATATGGTGAATATCTCCATAAAAATAAAATATATAAAAGGGGTACAAGGGATTGTTAAGTGGGGTTAATTAAAGTACCTTTTTGTAGTGAAAATTGAGGTTTTGCCGATAGAAAGAGGCGGCAGTGGAAGAGGGTAGTAGTGAGAGAGAGGGGTCGGGGGGTAGACGGTAGGGGTGAGGGGTATAAATAAGGGAGTGGTGGGACGCCATTGGTAAAAAAAAAGGTAAGCTGAGAGCTGAATAATTTTAGGTGGATTGGGTATCTTCTCAATTTCCTTATTCTTCGGGGCTGGTGACGAAGGCTTCTCTATAGACAAGGCAACGGTGGGGATGCTCTTTTTTTGGGTTTTATCTCTATTTTTCATCTATAATAACTTACACCTTGTTTGGATGGTTATTTCGTTTGTACTATTATATTGTATTATCACTTTAAATATAATATTAATTTAATTATTACTTATATTTTATTATATCGTATTGTTAAACTCATTATTATGTAACGGCGAAAAGTGTTATTTTATGGAACGACGGATTCGATGTGGTGGCGTCGTTACCTTGCTTCTTCTTTTTTCTCATCTTGCCTTTCATTATTATTGAATAATTATATTTTATCGTTTACCCTACTTTTTTGTATAATAATTTTACTATGTATCCTATTTTATCTTATTGGTAGTATTGTAACTTTATTCTTCATATTGTTGGGTGTGACATCATGAAATGATGATAAACGATACAATCTATTCAATCGTTGTATTCATGAAATAATACAATACAATGCAGTACAATACAATACGATATATTATGAAACAACATGTAACAACAATCCAAACAACTATGTTACGAAGACTATAGTTATTCCACTCTATTTTTTTTATATTTATTATAGAGAAATCATCAAAGGTGTATAATGGAAAATGTCCCTTCATTCTTCTATCATTTGAATATAAAGTTTTATCTTCGGTAGAATTCAACTTAATAGTTTATAGTTGGCAGAATAGCTTGGGAGACATTTGTACTTATTATGGTTTATCATCTCGGTCCCTACACTTCATAAAGTTTCATCTAGACACTTCAACTTAATCAAAACAAGATTTTTAAACCCTTCTCACCATTGACCGAGCTTATGTGGCATTGATATGGCTGAGGTGGATAAAATAAGTGATTTACACGCACATTAGGTGCGTGAGCCGATGATTTTTCTTTATTAAAAAAATAAATAAATAAAAAATGCTAGCAGTGACTCCCTCTTCATTATGCCCCCCCC